TATCTGGTCTGGAAAGTAAGTCCCTTGCTGCAGCTGTTCAGACAGTCAGAGTTCCTGAAGATGCGAGCGCCATGTACCTTTCCCAGCCATCCCACGTTGATGTTGGTGAAACGTCCCTTGTGATCCATCAGTGCTTGCAGGACCATTGAAAAGTACCCCTTTCGGTTTATGTACTGGCTGCCAAGGTGGTCCGGTCCCAAGATAGGGATATGCATTCCGTCTATCACCCCACCACAGTTAGGGAATCCCATTGCAGCAAAGCCATCCACTGTGACCTGCACATTTCCCAGAGTCACTACCCTTGATAGCAGCAGCTCAGTGATTGCGTTGGCTACTTGGATCACAGCAGCCCCCACAGTAGATTTACCCACTCCAAATTGATTCCCGACTGATTGGTAGCTGTCTGGCATTGCAAGCTGCTCTCATCTTGGTATTCTTGCACTTCAGGGCAGGGGAAAGCAAGTCGCAAAGTTCCATGAAACTGCCCTTACGCATGCAAAAGTTTTGCAGCCACTGGGAATCATCCCAGACCTGCAACACTATGCGATCCCATCAGTCTGTGCTTGTTTCCCGGGCCCAGAATCGGCGTTCCACGGTATGAACCTGCCCCATTACCACCATGATGTCCAAATTGCCAGGGCCCATGCTTTGACAGAAGTCTATGTCCATTTGCATGTCCTCATCACTATCGTGATCACGCTGTCGTCGCCTCCCCGCCTGCTTTTGCAGGTTCTGGTTCTGCACATACTGCAGGATAATGCACAAGGTGTTTACAATGCTCACAACAGCAGAGATGAGCTGAGATGTCCAAATTGCCAGGGCCCGTGATTTGACAGAAGTCTATGTCCATGTGCATGTCCTCATCACTATCATGATCACGCTGTCGTCGCCTCCCCGCCTGCTTTTGCAGGTTCTGGTTCTGCACATACTGCAGGATAATGCACAAGGTGTTTACAATGCTCACAACAGCAGCGATGAGCTGAGCGGGCTCCATGCTTGCTGTGGTATGGCGTCTGCAGGAGAGCAGAGTTGCAGCAGAAGCGGTGGATGATGATGGTTAGCACCGTGCACGTTTCCCGAGGAAGAACACACGTTCCCGGGAGCCCACGACAGACAACATGGAGAAATTCGCTATCGACACACGAGCAGGAGAGCAGAGTTGCAGAAGAAGCGGTGGATGATGACGAGATGCCACGAGAATAGATATTTATAAAGAACGACGAGAGGACCTGCGAGGTCGACTCATGGCACCAGGAGAGCAGGAGAGCAGAGTTGCAGCGGAAGTGGTGGTTGGATGACAACGGTTAGCAGTCCTACTGCACCATCTGCTGAAAGCAGTATGGCGTCTGCACGGAAAAAAGGAGCGAAACGACTGTCTGCCTTTGCTTTCATGGAGGGAGGGGCGACTGAAGACATGTACCCAAAACTACCCGCAACAATGTTTTTGCCCCATCAGGCATTGGGAGCTCAACCGAGAATTCCAATGGTCAGCGGAGACTGCGGGAACTGTGGGATAGCTACCCACAGTGCAACGCTCCGAAAGTAGACACTAGCCACGGTACTATGGCCGCACTCTGCTGACTTAATGTGCTTAGTGGGGACACACACAATTGACTGTATAAAATCGCTTTCTAAAAATCGACTTCTATAAATTCAACCTAATTTTGTAGTGAAGACATACCCGCAGTGGTGTAGATTTTTTACACCCCTGAGAGACGTAGCTATGCCAATTTAAATTCCCAGTGTAGACCAGACGAAATACAGAAATGCCATCAATTTGTGTGTACAAGTATGTTTACACTACAGAGACTATACTGCCACAGCTCTGATGGTATAATCTCATCTTGTAGACACAGCCTATGCCAGCAGAAGGGGTTTTTCTGTCCTTGTAGGAACACCACCTTCCCGAACGAAGACAGCTCTCTTCCGTTGACATAACTCCCAATGTAGATGGAGCCGTGTCAGCAGAGCTACGCCAGTTGAGCTGTGGTTTTTTTCATACCCGACACATGTAGTTATGCCGATATAACTTTTCAGTGTAGACCAAGCCGAAGGCCTTTGCAAGACCTGACAAGTTATAAAATAACCCATATTTTAGATTCTGGAATACTCTATAAATAAATCGTCTACTGTCAGTCTACAGGAACTTCTTTGCTAGAAGAATCCAAAAAACACCAAAAACATTTTTAGAAAGGAGTCATTTTAAAATGCTTTTAGCTCAAACTAATTAACAAATGTAATTGTATATGTTCACAAAACTCATTCTGTACTCAAAGAGTAAATTATATAAGTTTGGGGAGAATACGTTATATTATTTATATATAACTAAGGCCTGGTCTACACTAGAAAATTATGTCGACATAACTATGCTGCTCAGGATGTGAACAATCCATACCCCTGAACAGTGTAGTTAAGCCAACCTAAGTCCCTCTGTAGACAGCGTTAGGTCAACAAAAGAATTTTTCCATCCACCTACCTAACACCTCTCAGGGAGGTGGATTTTCCATGCCAATGGGAGAAGCCCTCCCGTTGAGGTAGGTAGTGTATATAATGAAGCAATGCTGTGGCACAGCTGTGCTGCTGTAGCATTTTAACTGTAGACAAGCCCTGCTTTACATGCACCTTTCAAAACAACCATTTTTATTATCAAATCCACTCATTACGTTATCTGGCCTGTCTGACTCATGAGGGACACTCCCCTCTCCCCCCCCCCCCGCCAGTCTCTGCTCGAACCAAGACCGATCAGAGAAAAGACTTGCAGAGAGCAGTGAAGGGCGTTGGGAGACACACCTAGACCCTTCCTGACAAGGGTGACAAGGGTGACAAAATTAAGACATCTCCATTTGCATACAGAATGCTCCCTGGAAGAAAACACCACCCATAGCCAAGAGTGATCAGCTCCTATTGTCTAGCCTAAAGAAAACCCTTGAGTCATCAGTTTACCCATAAACAAATCTAGTGTTCTCCCTTGAACCATTGTTGTTTCTCTACAAAAACCCCTACCTATGTTCAAGTAAGTGTTTGCTCATCAAGAAGGTTGCTACCAGTACAACTGTGATGTGAGAGTGGGGATAGGGACATGCTGAATCTGGAACATGATCCAGCCCATTGAGTAGAGGGACATATAAGGGGTCAGGTTGAAAGTGCTGATTGACCCGGTCCACTCAGAGTGTGTGTGTGGGCGGGGGGGGGGAGGGGGAACCCGACCCCTAGGGAA